CGGTTCAATCGTGCAAGTGTTGATCTTCCAAAGCCTTTCCCTTCACATTAATGCGGGAAAAATTCTAAATAATAGCCTAAAGTGCCTTCATTTTCTCAAATAAGAACCCGAGTGGATCTTGTCTCAAATAAAGGTTTCAAGTACTTTCATTTTCTCAAATAAAAGCCTGAAATGGATCTTGTTTCGAATAAAGGCTTGGAGAACAAAGAAGGACTTGACCCTCATTGGCTGGTTAATGGCATTTTAATCATTTACTTTTTTTTTGTTCCTTTTTCTATTTTTTTTCTTTTTCGACCTGTGGTTGGCCATCAGCGATAACCATTCTGTTCCAGAATGAGTTCCTAAAACAGAAATAGATTTTTCTATTTCTGGTTCCAGGATGAGTTTCTGATAAAAGAAACCCGTTTGATAACAACCAAAAATTTCTATTTCTGAAACAGAAATCCGTTTGATAACAGCACAAAATTTCTATTTCCTAAAACAAAAACCCGTTTGATAAAAAACACAAAATTCTATTTCCAGGAACAAAAATCCATTTTTTAGAAATGGAATAAAAATAATTAGAAAATCCAAAAAATTCCTAAAAATCTCAAAAAAATTCAAAAAATCCAAAAAAATTGAAAAATTCTAGAAACATTCATCACAATTTCCAAAAAATAAAAAAAATTCAGATTTCGTGAAAATAGGAAGTTTGTTGAATTTTTTAAAAAAAAAATCAAAAAATCAAAAATTTCAAAACTTCATAAAATGACTTAAAATACCTGTGGCTACCCACTTTTAGTGAAATTTAAATTTTTTTAGGTGCCCAAAAAAATCAAAAAATCAAAAATTTTAAAACTTCACAGAATAATTTAGAATACATGTGACCACCCACTTTAAGTGAAATTTAATTTTTTTAAGGTGCCCAAAAAAAATTCAAAAACTCAAAAATTTCAAAACTTCACAGAATGGCTTAGAATACTTGTGGCCACCCACTTTGAGTGAAATTTTAATTTTTGGAGGTGAAAAAAAAGAAAAAAATCAAAAATTTCAAAACTTTCTGAATGACTTAGAATATACGGCCACCCACTTTGAGCAAAATTTAAATTTTTTAGGTGCCGAAAAAAAACATAAAAAATCAAAAATTTCAAAACTTCACAGAATGACTTAGAATGCCTCTAGCCACCCACTTTGAGTGAAATTTAATTTTTTTAGGTACCCAAATGGTATTTTTGATTTTTTAATTTTTTTTCGGCACCTAAAGAAAATTAAATTTCACTCAAAGTGGATGGGCCATGTATTTTAATTTATTCGTGAAATTTTGAAATTTTCGACTTTTTGCTTTTTTTTATTTTTTTGCACCTAAAAAAATAAAATTTCGCTCAAAGTGGTGGCCATAGTATTTTAAGCCATTCGTGAAGTTTTGAAATTTTTACTTTTTTGCTTATTTTTATTTTTTTCGGCACCTAAAAAATTAAATTTATTCAAAGTGGATGGCGCGGTATTCTAAACAATTCGTGAAGTTTTGAAATTTTTATTTTTTATTTTTTCGGCACCTAAAAAATTTAAATTTCGCTCAAAGTGGATGGCCACAAGTTGCAGCATGATAACCATTCGGTCTGTCGAAGCTGGTTTTTGTTCCAGAACGTTTTGGACCAAAACCCGTTTGTTAACGCAATTTCATTTTTCTATTTCTGGGACAAGTTTTTGCTCCAGAACCGATTCTGAACTAGAAATGAGAACAAAAAAAAAGTTGGTTTTCTATTTCTAGACCAAAAATGAGAATCATTTCTGAGAAAGCTCTTTCTTCAAAACACATGTTCATCTGGAAGTCACGATCTTTGATGTGGGAAAAAAAAGCAAAAAATCAAAAATTTCAAAACTTCACATAATGGTTTAAAATCTGTGGCTACCCACTTTAAGCGAAATTTAAATTTTTTAGGTGCAAAAAAAAAAAAAATAAAAAATAAAAAATTTCACAAAATGGCTTAGAATACCTATTACACCACTTTGAGCGAAATTTAATTTTTTAGATGCCAAAAAAATAAAATATAATCAAAAAATCTAAAATTTAAAAACTTCACGAATGTCTTAGAATACATGTGGTACCCAATTTGAGCGAAATTTAAATTTTTTAGATCTAGAAAAAATTAAAAAAGCAAAAATTAAAAAATTTCAAAACTTCACAAATGGGCTTTAGAATACTGGCACATCCACTTTGAATGAAATTTAAATTTTTTTATGTGTCGAAAAAAATAAAAAAATAAAAAATTTCAAAACTTTCTAGAATGGCTTAGAATACCTGTGGCCACCCACTTTGAACGAAATTTAATTTTTTTTAGATGCCAAAAAAATAAAAATAAGCAAAAAAGCAAAAATTTCAAAACTTCACAGAATGGCTTAAAATACATGTGGCCACCCACTTTGAGCGAAATATTATTTTTTTAGGTGCCTAAAAAAATTAAAAAAAAGCAAAAAATTAAAAATTTTAAAACTTCACATAATGGCTTAGAATACATGTGGCCATCCACTTTGAACAAAATTTAAATTTTTTTAGGTGCCGAAAAAAATAAAAATAAGCAAAAAAGCAAAATTTCAAAACTTCACAGAATGGCTTAGAATACCTGTGGCCACCAATTTTGAATGAAATTTTATTTTTTTTAGGTGCCGAAAAAAAGAAAAAAATCAAAAATTTCAAAACTTCACATAATGGCTTTGAATACATGTGGCCATCCACTTTGAGTGAAATTTAATTTTTTTTAGGTGTCGAAAAAAATTTAAAAATCAAAAATACCATTTGGGAACCTAAAAAAATTAAATTGCACTCAAAGTGGGTGGTTAGAGGCATTCTAAGTCATTCTGTGAAGTTTTAAAATTTTTGATTTTTTTATGTTTCTAATTTTTTTTTGGCATCTAAAAAAATTTAAATTTCACTCAAAGTGGGTGGCCACAGATATTCTAAGTCATTCTATGAAGTTTTGAAATTTTTGATTTTTTGCTTTTTTTTCACCTCAAAAAATTAAAATTTCACTCAAAGTGGATGTCCATAGGTATTCTAAGCTATTCTGTGAAGTTTTGAAATTTTTGAGTTTTTGAATTTTTTTAGGCACCTTAAAAAATTTAAATTGCACTCAAAGTGGGTGGCCATATGTATTCTAAACTATTATGTGAATTTTTTAAATTTTTGGAATTTTTGATTTTTTTTGGGCACTTAAAAAAATTTAAGTTTCACTAAAAGTGGGTGGCCACAGGTATTTTAAGTCATTCTATGAAGTTTTCAAATTTTTGATTTTTTGATTTTTTTTGAAAAAATTCAACAAATTTCCTATTTTCTAGAAAAATCTGAATTTTTTTTATTTTTTGGAAATTATGATGAATTTTTCTAGAATTTTGCAATTTTTTTGGATTTTTTGAATTTTTTTGAGATTTTTAGGATTTTTTTGGATTTTTTAATTATTTTTATTCCTTTTTTTTTAAAAAAATGGATTTTTGTTCCTGGAAATAGAATTTTGTGTTGTTTATCAAACGGGTTTTTGTTTCAGGAAATAGAAATTTTGTGCTGTTATCAAACGGGTTTTTGTTTCAGAAATAAAAATTTTTTGTCATTATCAAACGGGTTTCTTTTATCAGAAACTTATCTTGGAACCAGAAATAGAAAAATCTATTTTCTTTGAAACTCATTTCGAAACAGAATGGTTATCATTCGCTAAGCCATTTGTGAAATTTTTTTTTCGACACCTAAAAAAATTTAAATTTCGCTCAAAGTGGGTAGCCACCAATTCTAAACCATTCTGTGAAGTTTTGAAATTTTTGATTTTTTGCTTTTTTTTCCCACCTCAAAGATTGTGACTTCCAGATGAACATGTATTTTGAAGAAAGAGTTCTCTCATAAATGATTCTCATTTTTGGTCTAGAAATAGAAAACCTACTTTTTTTTGTTATGATTTACGGTTCAGAATCGGTTACGGAACAAAAAGTTGTCCTAGAAATAGAAAAATGATATTGCGTTACCAAACGGGTTTGTTCCAAAACTGTTTTGGGAACAGAAAACTAGTTCTGGATAGAACGGAATGGTTATCATGCGCTACCAGAATGGGTCGAGCGAGGCCGCCCTCAAAAGCCACAGGCAAGGGTTGGCCTCGCCTGGGCGACCCTCACCCTCGCCGGCGAGGGCTTCGCCCAGGACTCCATATTGTCTTAAGGTTTTTTTTAATATTTTATCTTTTCCATGTGGCGTTAAGATTAATCAAAGTATTAAAATGATGTCGCTTTTTACATAAATCCTAATTTTTACACAAAATCGTAATTAAATTAGGTTAAAAAATTTTAAAAAATTTCCATAAAAAAGACATACTAAAAAAAGAAAAAAAGAACACACACACACAAACAAAAAAAGAAAAAGACAAAATCAAGGCTCTCCACCTGTGGCCCATCGCCGATGGGCGGTCGGCCATGGCCGGCAGGGTCGCCAGCATCTCAGCGAGTGAGGGGTCGCCAACCATGGTCGAAGCCCCACCGGCGGTGGAGCGGCAAGCACAAGCAAGAGGGCTTTGCCTAGCCCTTCTGCTTGCATTTTTTTAAATTTTTAGATTTTTTTTAAATTTGTAATCTAATTTAACTAAAATTTAAGTTCAAAATATCTTTGGAAGAAAATGCCCCAGACCGGCTGGAATATTAAATTGAAACTGCTATGATTATTTCGTGCCCTTATTTGAAACTGTTATGGCAATTTCAGGTCCTTATTTGAAATAAAATCCACTTTATATCTTTATTTAAGAAAATGGTGGCACTCCAGGCACCTATTTGAAAATTTTCCCATTAATATAATTTATGAATTAAAAAAATTTAAAGAAAAACAAGAAAAATAGCGGAAGAAAGGCTACGCGGCCGTTCCTTTTTTTTTTGTCTGAAAAGTTTGAAAATTCTCATTAAGAAGTAGTTCGAGAATACATGAAATTTGCTTCAAAACACAGCAAATTCGAAAGGCTAAGGAGGATAAGAAACCCAATTCAAAGGTAAAGTTGGCAAAGTTTTGTTTGGATGGGCTTTGACTACCCAAGCCACTTCTCATTAACTCGTGTGATTATTCTACAAAATGGAGGAACCGACGAGGAAGGCATGTGCTAAGTAAAGGTCCTCGTCGTTTTCAAATTAATATATCAGAGAGACAGAGCGAGAGAGAGAGGGAGGAACTGAGTCGATTATGTACAGAACAATGAGTATGACATGCTTTGGCTTCCCTCCACACCACACGCTAATGCACAACGAAAGGCTATTTCTTTTCCTTTTCGGAATTTGCGGGTTTAATTATGGCTCCGTCTTCTATAGCTGTATCAATTCTGGTATGAGCTTGAGAAGAAAAGCAAGCTCCTTTTCCGAGAACATAGGCTTCGACTCGACTTTCCCCCCTTCCGCTTCACCTACGCTCTCTCCGAGTTCTTCCTCGGCGGGCTTGATCAGATCAGACACCGCCTCTGTGATTTCCTGAACCAGATCGACGATCACTCCGTCAATGCCCATCAAGTATTGCATGTACACCGCCTCGGAAACATTGCTGCGATTCCCACGAAAACATGCAGCAGGACGTTAGTTTCATGTCCAAGAAATCTATGATCAACCAATCAATCAATCATGTTAATGAAAGCTGAAGATGGAGAGAGTCTTACTTTAATCTGCCATATGTTAACAGAGAGAGCTTGGACTCTTTGATCTTGGGAACAGCGGCTGGATTTCTGAAAACGCCCTTCACCTCCGAAACGATCCCCTGAAGACCCCCTTCCAAGCACAGCTTCACGGCTTCCTCCAATGAATTTCTCCGTGAATCGTCGTAAATCTCCGTCCCGCCATTAGTCAAGAAGAACACCTAAAATGCCAATACACAACTGCATTTCTCAATACAGTTTTCTCTAAATAATTGTCGCAGACTAAAATCTCCACGGAAGATCTCACTCTCCACACGCAGCAACAATCAGTCTCAAAAGCTTAACATCTAATTTCGTAGACTGATCTCGATACGCTAACTACCAAGCATTTCTCTTGAAAAAACAGAGCCTGAGATTTCTAACACTTACAGGGTACATGCTCTGCAATTTTTTGACCAGGAGAGCTGCATCGGGTTGGAACGTGGAGAAGATGATGGACCTTCCTTGTGCACACTCGAAGACGACCTTCAAGATCGCTTGAATGACGTGGACGAGGTGGTCTTGTTGGTAAACGATGAGGTCGTCGAACTTCAATTCGATGTTGAAGCCGAGCGAAGGCTCCACCTTCTCGAAAGCCTCCTGCAACGTGCAGAGGGAGTCGTCCTCTTCCACGTCCCATCTCACTATCTTCCCGTCTTTCGTCTTCCTCAGGAGCGAATTCCCGATCTTCCCATTTTCTCTCTGCGGTCCGCAGCAGAGGAATTCGGCTAAGCACAGCTCTGTCACTCTTTTTTCAAATACTGTGCCCTGAAAAAATAAAAAAAAGGACTAAATTTCGAAGCTGGGGTTATAAAATTTGGCATAATGATCTCAAAAGATAGGAAAGTTTTCTAGTATATTTTTCTGGATTAGAAATAATTAGAATATTTCTATTGATTCTCGATGGATATGATTGATATGCTATCTTTCGCAACTATACTTTTTTGCATTGTTGTTAATTTTTTTTAATGGAATATTTATAGTGTAAGAATAGGAGGGGCTTGCTTACGTTGTCTTCGGAGAGGATAAAGTCGTCGTGGAAAATGACTGGGCAGTCATCTTTGGTCACCTACAAAAAAAACCCAGATTTTGTTTTTGCTTTACTTTGGTTGTTCTTAGGCATTAATACCACCAAACATCTTGGAGCATCAACCAACGAGCCAACAAAAGAAAAAAAAAAAAACACCAGATCAGTATCGTATGTTAAGGAAAAATTTCAAGTCGGATGGGTAAAAACAAATAGGGCAAAAAGAAAACAACGAAAATTACCGGAAAAGCACAGGCTCGTCTAAATTAGGAAAGTATCTTTTCTAAAAATAATCTAACATTAGAAGCATAAATTATCACCGATGATGAAAACATTTTTAGTTTGAATTTTTTTTTTCAAACGGTACATCCAATTATTTTTCAAGGTTATTTATCGAATAATTTATTTTTCGCGAAATAAATAAACGAAAGCGAAAATATTTTCTATTTCAATTTTCCATTTATTTTCATTTAGCCTATGTAATGCTTGGGTTACTAAGATCAAGCTCTTAATGAAACCCGCGCGGAAACAAACAAAAACCCACCCGGCGACGTACGCGGCGAGGCCACGACGCAACCAGACAACACACGCACGTGAACTCAGGCCGGCTGTTCAAGTTCCGATGCAATTCAACACCAAAAATAATAACAATAATAATAATAAAATTCCAAATCAAGATCTGGAAACCGGTCAAATCTCCTCCGGCAAAACCCACGAGCACCCAAAAAAAAAAAACCGAAAAAAAAAAATATTATTCTTTTCTTCTTCTAACTTTCAAGAACAAGAAACGGGAAACTCCAGAACAGAGCAGCTGGAGAACCAATCTAGAACTATAATAATAAAATAATAACAATAATAATAATAAAATTCCAAATCAAGATCTGGAAACCGGTCAAATCTCCTCCGGCAAAACCCACGAGCACCCAAAAAAAAAAACCGAAAAAAAAAAATATTATTCTTTTCTTCTTCTAACTTTCAAGAACAAGAAACGGGAAACTCCAGAACAGAGCAGCTGGAGAACCAATCTAGAACTAGAATCTAAAGCAAGCAGCACGGCAAAGCCAACGTCAAGAACTAGCTCGGAAACCCGGGAGCCTCACCTGAACGTCGAACTCGACGAAATCGATGGGGTGCCTCGCGGCGGCATTGAAGGACAGCAGGCTGTTCTCCTTGAGCCCCCTCATCCGCCTGTCGCTCGACTGGAGCGCGTTCATGCCGTGCCCCCGGTGCCCGATCACCAGGAACCTGGGCGCCTTGAACGGCGCCCAGGCCTCGCCGCCGCCCCTGGCGAAGCCGAGCGCCGCGACGGACGGGCCGTCGGGGACGTGGTCGAGGTTGGGGACGTCGGAGACGTGCACGGCCTTGAGAGCCATTGCAGAGGATTGACGGAGAGAAAGGGGGAGGTTCCGGCGAGGGGCAAATGGGGAATTACGGGGGTTTGAGGAGGAGGCGGAGGTTTAGGAGGAGGAGGACGGGGTTATTATAGCGACGGAGGGACGGAATCGGACGCCGACGGGGATCTGAAAAATGGAATATTCGGGGGATTATTATTATTATTATTATTTAAATTTCGAGAATCGAACTTCCTTTTTTTATATTTTTTTCCCACTTTTTAGAAGAGATATGCTTTGGGATATTCGGGTTTCTCCCCGTCAACGCGAGCGGTGCGGTTGACCAACGCCGTTAGTTGGGTAGACACGGGAGCTGCGCGTGTCGGTCGGGTGCTCCGTCGATCGATCGAGGGTGTTGTTAACGGCGGTTGTCACGCCGCCGTTCGTGGGACGAAGAACGGTGTATTGAGGGGAAGGTGACGTTAGGAATTGTACGTGGAAATTTTTGCCCTGAGCGAGCGAGCTGGTGCATGTCGGAAGAGCTTTGCGTGTTTTGACGGCCTCTCTTTGTGTTTGGGCCACGCGCCGTCACTCGGTTTCGTACCTCGGTCGGACGCGCGGGGGAAACTATATCTCGTGATCGGGACAGGACGTCGGTCCGCCGGACACGAATCCCTGACCACGAGATGGTCGGAAAGAGTGATCGGAATTTGTTTGTCCGTATGCATGGACTAAACGAGACGGGGAATCGTTGTACGGACGAAAATGCGCGCGCCGCCTATTATTTTTAGTAGTCGTCTAGCTTATATGAGGAACACTTTTTGTATGTGTGAATCGATTAAGATGATAACCGCGATACATGGGGAACATAGGCTCAAGAATCCAAAACATTCTCCCAAACGAGGGCCAATTTTTCGAATCGGTAAAGCGGTACAAAATCCAGGAGTCGGGCATAACGGCAAAATAGCCCGTGAAAAGTTTGGTACTTCGGCATACAAGGACCGTGGCAATTCTCCCCTCCCCATTTATTTGATTCTTTAAGCAACAAAAACATTCCATAATCGCTAAACATATATAAGACTCGATCCCATCACAAGTAAAAACGCGCGAGATCTATCGAAAATCTAGAGAAAAAGAACCGAGCTCCACGTTCACCTTACGCGACAGACGATAGTATCGATCACGTCGCGCCCATAAAATGCCTCTCGTCCTTTCAGTTCTCGTTTCGAAGTCGACAAACGATTGGCCAAGTAATATAGCCAATAAGGACATAGAGAGAGAGAGAGAGAGAACGAAACCACATATCCTAGTCGTGGATGATAACAGATTTATGCTAAAGTTCAGCAATTAAACTTTCATTTTCTTTTGGTTCGAAATATTCTTCCCATCTTAAATTTACAGATGAGGATCGAGAGGAGCTGTGGGCAATTTGCTTATCGGGATCCCGGGCATCGAACGGTCCAGGAAACGTTGCTTTCAACGATTTGACATCGTCGACGGGCCACGAACCGGGGCTCCGAAGCAATTGGAGTGCTGTCGCTGACCGTACGGGGGCGTATGTCTCTCATCCAATCACGTAATTTTTCTTCTTCTTTTTTATTATTTTTTATTGCCCTTTTTCTCGGGGAATATCTGTGAATTTCCTGAAAACGAATATCCGATGGAATATGATCTGGAGAGCATCGGAACGCGCGTGTCGGCTTTTTCCTTTGTCCCGGCTCGTCCCTCTCCGTGTTCCCCAACTTCTTATATCACAGTACGCGTTTGTGCTCCTTTGCTACGTATTTGGTATAAAATACATCAGAACTTTCATTCGGCGAAGAGAAACACAATTGGAGCGAATCGGACCGGTACAAGTTTGATGTAATTCAACACATTTTACTCTATCTCGAGGGCGAAATCCAATACGGATATAAGTCCGGTTCGACGTTTCTCCTCAAAGGTAAAATTGACTAGATGGCGCTCGCGCCAAGTATATTCCACGATCAATCGGCAAAATTGCCTCTTTCCGGCTTCGCGCGAAAAGATGGGCAATCGCGTCTTCATCTAACACGAGTAACTACTGAAAGTATATATCGACGGAAATCAAATCGAGTACTGAAAATTCAAGAGCTAATCGATTAGGAACACCCCCCCTTTTTTCTATCGATTCAATGAATACTGCTTTCACACACCGAGAGAGAGAGAGAGAGAGAGATGACATGTTGGTGTTATTCTAACTTAAGACAGAACAAAATTATTTGATTGTCGTGTCCAAGAAAGATTCTTCAGACAAAAGCTTTCTCAGTTTCAAAAAACTGTGGAGGGACATTCATTTATCCGAAACGCAGGGTGGATGGAAGGAGAAGATGTTGTGGGGATGGAGATTGGACCATCTCCACCTCTCCTGCCACGATTTCGTGACTCACTCTCTATCTCAATTGGCGCATTCTCATAACTCGAGTATTCTTCTCTTCCGTAACGGAGCCAAGCTGCCGTCTAATAGAAAAGGGGTAATGGATGATGTGTATCCATGCCGGATTTTCAACTCCTTGTCTGGATCCCAATCTGTATTTGGAAGTTAGGTGAAGACCCAAGAGAGACGGACCCGTTTTCTTTTTTTTTTTTAAATTTGATGGCCGAGAGACAATGATTCGCGCGGTCTTCGCGTGCGCCGGTTGTGGTGGGCAACGACCTTCGCAAGGGCGAAGCAGGGTCCCTCCCAACCTTTGAGATCGTCTGCGCCCGCAATCACCCCCCCATCCCGCGGCTAAGGACCGACACTCGAGCAGAAGACACTTCTCGTCTCTCGATCCATCCGGAGGTCGAACGCGAATTCGAGGGCTCGACTGTGGTCGAGACGAGGAAGGCGTTCTATATGTCGATGGCATAGCCGGCATGCGGGGCGTGACCAACGGCTCATCATATTAGATGACGTAATTTGCGTCCTAACTAATGTTGCATTCAGGATTTAAACTCCTCAAGTATGGATCAACATCTCTCGGCTACGCAGCATGTCTAGCCAGCCCATTTGATTCTGCTCTCTGTATATTTTTTTTCTAGGACAATCTTTTGTTTTATCTTCAACGACAGGACATTCCCAGCAGAGCCACGTGGATCCACGTTTTTTTTGTCTTCCCTAAGAAACGCAAACGATTGTGTTTCGGTCATCGCTGACGACATAGCTGAGCCTTTTGGAAGACCTTCTTAACTTTCTTCTTTTATATATTTTTTTTGACAGGTTCTTCTTTTATATTTAGGAATGCGACTTTGTCCCCAAAATTTCCCGTCGGGCTCCGTGACGTCGTCAAGTCGTGAGCAATTATGTGATCCCGAGGAGATTTTGTTTTGAAGTTTCACGAGAGTTGAAAAACATGTGATAAACAGGGTTTGACCAGTCTATGCCCTGCCCTTTTGATTTGGCGAAATGGGAAAAGTATACCTTGTACAATACGAAAGACGAGTCCAATTTTGTTTTCCAAATTGGATAGCCAATGAAAACAATGAAAGTAGAAGAGGAGGAGGAGGAGGAGAGGAGAAACGGTGACATAAATGGTCGAGAGATATGTGTTTGAATAGACACGACCTTTTACTAGTATAAGTTCGACGTGAGACGGAGTTGGTATTTTTTGCACTCGGCAGATGGAGTTTTTTACGTGTTAGTTAATGTAGATGAGAGAAAAATAACGTAATATCACTCTTCCGAAGATGTAAGCTCAAATTATTGTCATACTGTTATCAATAACGGCTTTTATTGTTGTTTATGGAAAAGTATTATCTTGCGAATTATCCGAAGTTGCTCGGGTCACACGTTGCGGAACTGGTTCCCCCTAATCTCTCTTCACACGTTGCTCCTCGAGGCGATCGATTAGGTCAATTATTAACAGGTCGAGGTGGAGTAATCTTGATGAAGAAGCAAGGGAAATGAGCTGTGCCAGTGGTTGTAGGAAGCAATGCACAATGAACGAATCCTTGGCCAATGAAGATTACGTCCCAAAGGAGAATGATTCCTGCCCCTATTATAGTTAAAAAACAAAGGAGAAGTACAGAAAGTTGAATCATCGCTGAGGGAATCGAGCGAGCGTGCTTGTTACTTCTTGGACACAGACGGACCATGAACTGCATACTGTACGATGAAATTTCTGCTACGGACTAAACAATCGAGGACAGTGTTTGGAATGTGATCCATGGTGAACTGCACATTGTAGGGACAAAGCCGCGACGTACTGTACGCAGGAAACACAACGGGTGGAGCCGGTTCCACCGACCCCCGTAGTTAACAGTCTCTTTCATCCCAGCATAATAATACAGATCTCTAAGGATTCCATGCCTGGATCTTCCGAGGCCGGGCCCGAGACCTTAGTATATATCGATGTCCTTTTCCCGGCCATCATATCCGGTGCCCCGCTCTCGCATCCAAGTCACTGGTAGCTAGGGCCTAGGTCCATCGAAACCAGACCTGACTCCACGGATGCTGAGTCCAAATCCCTCGTGCTCGCGTCTGGGTACCTAGCTCTTGCGCCCACGTTAAACGAGTGACCGGGTCCCCGGCACACGTGCTTGGGTTCCCAATGGCTAGGCCCAAGAAACCCTGGCACTTGCGATGGGGATTCCGGCGGCTAGGTTTGGAGAATGAAAGTAGAGTTTCAAATGACGAAAATGAAGTTTTCAATTATTTTTACATTTCAATCAAATACCTGAAATTTGTCATTTTATTCTAGAAAACAACTTATTAATGCTCATAAATGTCAAATTCTCTGCAAAATAAACAAAACCTAAAAAGATAAACGACCGGTCGGATGATTATTCAGAACTTTCTTAGCAAAGGTTTCTTTTCCTCTTATTTTCTGTGATGTAATACTAGTTTATTTTGCTAATGCAAATGTAGGGGTAAGCGCACTAGAAATCTTAAAACTTGTCACTACAGTGCAGTTGAATCCTAAAAATTACAAAAAGTGCAATCAAATCTTAATGGTTGTCAAATTAGCACAATCAAGTCATTTCGTTAACTCCGTCCAATATGGCTCATAGAAAATGCTAACATGTTTTTTTTTAAAAATTTTCTCTCTCATACGTGGCACTGACATAGCTAAAACATGAAAAATAAGTCTAAACGACATCATTTTGGACAAAATATAATTTTTTAATTCAAATATTATTAATTAGACTAAAAATAAGCTAATTTTCTTTTTTTAAAAAAAGGAAGAAGGCAAAGATGGTGGGGGCTCTACAATCTGCCACCAATTAGTGGCCGGCAACCCTCGCCGATTGCAAGCCCTTGCCCAACTTGCAATCGGTGAGGGCCCTATATGTGAGGCCTTACATTTAACTCACTCAAGATATTATCTATTTTGGTCCGTCCCATACTGAATCTTACGATTTTGTCTTTTCGCATACAGATGCATACTTTCCCAGGAGTTCACCGATCTTGGTAGTGCTCTCACCATGAACACGCTTAACTTTGGAGTTCCAAAGTTAAGCATTGTCGTTACGTCAAATGACGCCTTCTTGAATTAATTATAATCTTCACATATATATCCCAAGCACGTTCTCTCTTTGTTCAGTATGTAGTTCGGTTCATTCTTGTCCCTTTCACTATCCTAGAGGCCTGTCAAAGACGCTCCATGTTCGAGCCCTTTGGCTTCAGTGACCACTCTCGACACTCGTCTGACCGAATCGAGACACTGCATGTCCTTGCTATTTTGCCTTCCCCATCATTCTTCTTCTTCTTTTTTAACAATTAATTTAAATAAAATATGTATTAAAAATTAAATTTGGATTAAAACAACGTTGTTTCAACCTTATGCTTCATGTTTGAGCCACATCATCGCTACGTAAGAGAGAAAAAATATTCTAAAAAGCCTCATCAACATTACCAATTCCCCGAGTTGGATAGAGTTAACAGAACTCAGATTGCACAAATCTAACAAGCTTTAAAATTTGCTTGCACTTTTTGTGTTTTAAAAATCAATTGCAAAATTTTGGACTTCCAGTACACTCATCTCTTTTATAAATGGAGATCAAGAGAGAACATCTAAGTAGAATGGGACAATCTGATCTCGTCCCAGATTCCACAACAAGAACATTTTTCATTTTTTTTTTAGCCAGATTAAGACAGAACAATTAGACACTGCAATTTCGTGTTAATCTGATACAAGCACCATCACAGAAGAAAAGCCCACTCTCATACGAGACATTCCATTACAAGAGGGCAAGCGGCTGAACCAACAGATAAAAAAAAAAAAAAAAACCCCATCCATCAAAAGCAAAGCCTCCTCATATTTCACATCCACATCCTAAAATCGATTTAATCAAACTAAAAATGCTACGAGTGCCGATTCTCCTCGTTTTTTGCGCTGTTGCTGCTGGTCGCCCGATTCGATTCTCCGACTCTGGCCGACAAAGCAAGAATCTCAGGTGACATATCCCAGCTTCCGCTCTTCCTTCCCCAGCTGGACCTCCTGGGATGAATCCCTGCACGCTCTCCCGTGTCCTCCACATTGGCCCTTATTTCAGGAGACATTTCGCCTAATTCACCATCCTTAAAATTCAGGCGATCAGTACTGTTGAGCTGTCCTTCACCAAGGTCTAGACCAGAATTCATATCGCCCCACACTGCTTTCCTGCCCATTTCAATGTCCTCAACCGGTTTTCCCATATTTGGACTCATGAATCCCCCACCAACCGATCGTGTTGGTAACACAGGTTCTCTAGGTACCTTTGCCCTAAAATTGTTCTTGGATTGGGGGATGCCGGTGAAGAATATTTCCTTGAAATTCTCCACCACTCCTCTGTTGTAGGGGTTGGCTCGCCTATCATATCTGTACCGGAAGTTCTCGTATGTGGTCTGCAAGATAGCAAATAAAATGGGACATTCTGTCAAAAGAAAAACTAACTCGAAGTGCAGTGACCATTTGCAAAGGTGGATAGAAAGTATGACCTGATTTGTACTGATGAGATATAAGTGGAAAGCAGTGAGGCCGCCAACAAACCACATTGAAATAAAAGTGTAGACTATTAAGACAATTGAGGCGGGGGTCTTGATCATTGCTTTCCAGATGGTTGTCGCCTCCGATCCCATGATTCTCCGGATGTAGACCCAGCAGAATGCAAAGACAAATATACAAAGGAGAGTCGTCGAGAACACAAACATGAAGAAGAACCGATAATTTCGCTGCATGAGATAATTGAGACACGAGGTCAAAACAATTGAACAAGCTCCACAAATGCAGGATGAGCTTGAATACTTTCAGGCACTACAAATTAAAGGACCGGAAAGCAAATGCAACACTCCTTTTTCCCCCTTTTCTTCTCATATATCCAGTGATTTAACCTGAAATTCTTTGTGACAGGCTGCAGTACATTAGATTGATCTGTGAAAATATTGATAACAAACACAAGCATGTAATGATTGCTATATGACCAATTTATAAGACAATCCAAAATTCTACATACACCATGCATTAAAATTGGAAATAGTCAAATACGAGTTTAGGCCCAATGGGGCGTTAACTAAGTCAATGCAACTATAAATCTTCATCAGAAGAATATCCACTTCAGCCGTTAAGATATACTGCGAATAAGCATAAAAAAGACGATAAAAATAATGATAGGGTGGATCACTCATGAGAAAATGTACCACTTACAAGACCAATGCACTGCCCAACCCATGGACAATGGTGATCAAAACGTTCCACACAGTTATTGCAGATAGAACAATGTGAACACCGAGGAGGCCTATAAAGCATGCAGGTGTCACAATATTTAATCTTCACAGTTATTCCGTTGACATCAACTTCCTTAATACGAGGCAAGCGTAACTGTGGGGTTTGGCCAGCTCCACCATCTGTACTTCCATCAAAGCCTTCTGACTCCGGAGGGTGTGCATTACGTGGAATTATACCAGGATCCCTTCCAGAAGTTAGCAGGAGGAGAATTAAATCCTGATATTCAAGCATCTCTATCAGTGAGGTCGGATAATAATTGTTAATAATCCTATCAAGATAGAAGCCATGGTAGAGGTTGCTCATGTTTAACCAGCAGGCAAACACATCTAAGCAAGGTACCATAGTACACGAGAGCATATAATATCTCGTTTGTCTTCTAAAACACTAGCAAAATGGCACAATTGGCTTTACAAATAACTTTGTTATCCTAAAAACTAACATTTACAATTCTCGACGGAAGATTCACCTCGTCAATTAGGCCTAGTTCATATCTACAATTGGGTTTCATAAGAATTGCAGCATTCCTAGCAAGAATGCCAGTTCCACATATGACCGTATAGTCCTAGAAAAAGACTTCTGGTGATACAAGAAATTCAACCATATGACCTGAAGCTATCAGCTTCTTATAACCAGTCCTTCTATTGTAAAGTTGGATCACTATTTGAGTCCGATGACTCCAAAACAGGTTGCAATAGAAACCTTTGATAAGGAAATTGTGGAGGCCTCATAGCAAAAGCATCAAGGAAGCTTGCAAGAATCAGCTTTCGGTAATTCAAATTATAGTCCAAGCCAAACAGCAGTTATTCAAACGGGAAGGCTACAAGAAAAGTAACACCGAAATCCAACCACTCAGTGGCACCCACGGCATAGGTGAATTAACAAGAAGTGTTGACTTTAGAAGCATCGATAGGATTGGTGAGAGTACTAGTTACATTCTTTTTAACCTAAGCAGATCAATTTACAAGCACTATTGGACTCAATCTTTTGTACCAACATCCGACTATTCAGTAGCATCCACAGAATAGATTAACACCAAATGTTGACTTGATAAAGCATTTTCCGAATGATAAGAGAGCTAGTTATATTCTTTTCACCCTAAGCAGATCAACGTAAAAACACTATTATAATTATTTATTTGTATCGACCTTGGGATCTATGAATGTTCACCCCAACAATCAGAAGTAGAATAATCCTAGTAAATAATTCCAAAAAATGCCATGAGAACTTCAAGAAAAAACCGCCCAACATATAAACTAACAATGTACACATTAAAGAGAGAGTCACTTACATAAACTGTAAATACAACCGCGACTACCATTATTGATATACCATACTGATCAGGAAAATCATCCATCAATTTCCTCGCAACAAAGACGCAGAAAACTGCAACAGGAGCGACTATGAGAAATATGGTAAGGCCAAGCGACCTTACATCTGGACCAAATATAAGCCTTCCTTGAAGGAAAAATATCTGGAAGATAGAGAAACATACGAGATCAGAGAATAAACATGTTATCACATCATAAAAGTATTCTCATCAACTTGCATGTAACTGAAAGGAAGATGTGCTCTTTAAATGAGTAATCACAGCCTGGATATTGCCATATTGGGTAATACATCAATGATGCCCGTCACAGGAAAAGACTCCCTCCGACCTAACCAGAGCGACATGGAATAGAAATACTGCTAGCTTTATTAACACGAGCTGAAAAACTATTCAATAGCTTGACTAGATTCTCCTATATTAATGAGTATCTGATCAGTACACATACCAACCCTGTCCTCTCATGCAAATCATTACTCGAAGCAAATAAACCTCTAGTATGAATGCTTAAGTGTATTCACCAGCAATTAGCAACATATAAAAACCACAAATTTTAGGTGGTGCGTGCATGGGGCACCATTCCCCGGAGTAGTAAACACCTAAAATGTGATAAAAACATCCTTTGTATTGGTAAATCAATGTGAAGTATTCACGTTAATTTACAACGAACACGTCGACCACATGGGATGTGTATCTATCACCTCACCCGAGGCACGGTGCACAAAGGCACTCCAGATGTCCCCGTAGGACCAGACCCAACAAAAAGGACAGCTTAATGCGGACTCTCCAACACACTCTGCCTTGAAAAGGAAAATCCAAACACGGACTCAACTCGCAACCTATTCGGATGATCAGAAAAGTCATAAAAAAAAGCGTGAGCTTCGCTAAATTGAGTTTCCCGCACGGCAATTGCCAAATCCTGCAGCAGCATAGCTTCTCCAGCAAACAGTACGCAATAACCTCTCCAAAGTCCACAGTAAGAAGGAAGACCCAAGTACTAACACGCGCCCAAAAGACCTCAGATAGACGAGACCCCGGGAGAAATCTCCACACAACACAGCCTCAACATCTCTAAAGGCACTATATGCACAAGCTCCACAGTCGAGAACAAATGCAACGACCCCCGCATGCGCGCCAAGTTTCGTCAAACCACATCTACACCAAATCAATCACGCTCCAATTCTACAGACACGACATTCAGAACAATCGCCCGCAACGCGGGAGCACCACACAAGCCAATCACTCCAGAAAAAAGGAGAAACACAAAAAAACAAAAAAGAAAAAACAAAACAAAAGAAGAAAGAAAACAATCGCCGCCAAGGTTCGGAAGCTTACATTACTACCCTTCCAGTTCTGGTAGACTCGCAAATCGTCGGATCCGCTTCCGGGATCCGGCTTCTGAGGTGGATGCACCGTATACATCTCTCGCTCTCTCCCTCCCCCTCTCTTCACTGGAAATGGTCAACGGAATCCCGACCGGCGACCGATTCGGAGGGGCCAAGGGCTAAACAGCTCAAGGGAGCTGCCAGAATTAGGGTTCCGGCCGGTCCATCGGCGGTCAGATCCCGGCGAGGCGGCGCGATCGGCGGCCGGTGATGCGCTGGGTGTTCTCTCTCTCTCTCTCTCTCTCTCTCTCTCTCTCTCTTTCCTTTCCTTTCCTTTTTTTTTATCGGGAGGCGAGGGAGGGAGGGAGGGAGAGAGGGTTTCGTTTATCGGATTAAACAGAGATTTTTGCTGAATAACGGTGAGGGAAAGGAAGGGGTGCTGCGCGTGTACGCTTTACAGGATGGTTGGGGGCACGTGGCGGCGCATGAGTGGGTGGCGATGGGGGAAGACCAGCGGGAGGGAGGTGGGCGGGACCTACTTGCTTTCTGCTAGTGTCTCCCCCACTTTTTTGACATTTTAATATATATATATATTCTTTATTATTTTAATTGAGCGGAAAATGAAAAGCTCCACCCCACCACCACCCCAGTGTGCGACTGTCTGGATCGGGCATCGATTCGCTGCTTCGCTGTTTCGCTGTTCTCGATGGACCTCTTCCCCCCACCCGCCCTTTTCCATAATTACCTCCATGCCCTTTTCTTCCTCCCTCCCAACTTTTTTTTTTTGGCCAAAAGAGGATTTTAATTGCATTTCTATAATTCAGTAATGTATTGCTTCACCCAATCTTATGATTAAAATTTTGATAAGAGTGCCCGGCTACTTATCATATGACTAAACGAAGATATATTCCTAATTTTTTCAATACACCGCGCGTAACAATACTTCGAAAGCTTCCCTCGCTTGATATGTTTGACAAGATGTACGAGATGTGATAATTGACGAGGCATGAAGATATCATTATTCTGTTCGAATTATCTTCGATAAAGAGTTTATGTTTTCTTCGCCGAGTGTCCGTGTTTAGATTCCCGCGCTGCCGACGATTTCTTGAAATTACCCTTCGGAGCATAGCTGTGCGAGTTCTACGGCTACTTAATTTGTCGCTTTGAAATCGTCGTAGTAGATGAAAATTAACCGAGTGCTAATAAATCACTTTTGAATATATCCCGTCATTGTCGAAGCACTAAATCACGTCAACATATGAAATTGACCGTGCGTGATGAAAGTCCAAAATGGTAGGAGGGAAGCACGTAATGGCCACCGAAGGCGACGGTTCGTTTGACTATTGTTTAGGGCGAATCATCGTGTTTTATTTTATGATGTATACTTCAAATCTTAGGACCCCTCGGAATATTAATAAGTTCTTTTGACCATCAAAATGGTAACAATAATTGGTACAGCAATTAAGACTTCGACACTTCAAAACAGTTGAGTTGACTTATTGTCGGCTACTGCGAATTGGTACGCAACCGGTGATGGGAGACCATTGCTGATTAGGATTTCCGGCTTGGGCGTCGACAAAGGCAGAGAAACCGGTCAGTTATGGCAAAAACTAGATTCTGTAAGAGTTCTATAATTTAATACCCCGCCTATCAAAAATTAATACGATCGAAGGATAATTATTGCTGAGGTCGATCCATTCCGAAATGGGTCGGTTCCAACCCTAAAACCTGTAAATAATCATGTTGTCTCTGAAATTGTACCAAAACTAGATCGGTCGGTCCGATCCCGTTCCAGAGTCAATTCGGAATTAACGGTTATTTTGGAGTTTGTTTTATTTAAAAGAACTATTTTGACGGTTTAAGCATCATTTATCCGCGCGATCGAGAACAAATTGCAAAGGGAGCTCGTATTGACCAATGGATCTAAAGACGCAAGCATGAAGATCCTCACTGACAAGGATAAAACAAATGTCTGCCTTAGCTGGAAAGGTACTGCTAAAACATAAAATTATAGAATTAGAATCAAAGCAACAGCCAGTCACATTAGCTTGCCAAAAGAAATCCAGATAATACTCGAGCACATAAAAAAACTGGCCAGTGTGCTTCTGCATGTTACCTAGGGAGTCAGCTAATATAGGTGTATAAAGCAGAAAGCCACCAACGGCCAAAAATCATACTTAAAAAAAAATGAAGTACAATGCAAACTAGAAAAAAAAACGAACAAAACTGGGCCGTTCCGTCCGTCCTATATGATTGATCCGGTTCCGCACAAGGAATCGGGAATCGAATTGATTATTACCGATTCCAATTTTGTGAAATCGAGAATCGAACCAATTCCCGAATTGATCCGGGACCGATGATGATTCTCGAGAAGAGGGTAAAATTTCATGACAAGCTAAACTAGACGAGCGTCTAACGCATGTGCCATGAAAGCATAGCCTATTGTTTCCATGCAATATGAAAAGGCATTATCTTAATTGCAGATAAACAATTTTCTCATAGCGATCCGAATTGCTATATACTTTTGCAGTTCAAACTCCCTATGTTTAAGAGAGAAGCCGGCAACACAATTCGGTGCCACCATCTAGAGAGGTCCGTAAAACATGCTTGGCGCCATGTCCAAGCCGCATAGATATAATGCTCGTTGGGAGGAATTTTGACCCTAGGTCGCTAACACGGACCCCTAACAAAACCAAGGACGTGACAATTGCACTCGAAAAGATTATGGTGCGACCAATTCGCTAGCATCGTCAATAACGGCGAAATTAAAAAGGTCATATGTGCCTGACGGATATTCAACTTCACCGGATCTTCACTTATAATTCAGCTCAACTTGGCTTTTGGGGAAAGGACTTATCCTAAAAGGGGGATCAATGATTACTAAAGGCGATGTTCGGGGGCTCGCACGTGACAAGAGCGTGCGTGGAGTGGGCAACGGGCCACCGCCCATGAAGCCCATTTGCAGATAAAATATGTTTGAAGTAAAGAGATGGGGGGGCAAAAAGGGAAAAAAAAAAACATCATGACGTCCTCCTCCCTTTGTATTCACATGACCTGCCGTGGGGATGGAACGAATGAATCGATCGATGCTCTGTACCTGCAAGAGGAAAAAACACATTAAAAAAAAGTATATACTTCTGAACTTTGGAATTTGATGGGGTTTGTTTGGCGGGGGCCGCCTTCGATTGTGGTCACGAATGCTCATTGCGACGTAGATACCACATCCGATGCATAATGTCATCATGGTGCCTCCCTCAAGGCCACAAATAATTCTGAGATCGTCATAATTGGGCCAGCCATCACCACAACTAAAGAAACAGACACACATGTTTGATGAGCGAGGCTGCGCATGACAATCATTTTGTACCCATAATTTGATTCTGGACAAAAATAATTCTTTTTTATTTTGTACCTAGAAATAATTTCTAAGCATTTGATAATTATCCAAAATTTTTGTTCTTAGAATAGAAAAAGAACAGAAATGCGTTTGGTAACTACATAAAATTTCTTTTTATTAATAATATTTTAATTTTTTTAATATTTATTTCTTTTATTTTTCTTTCTTTCCCCTTCCTTTCTTGGCCATGGCCGGCCGCCGGCGCTGGCGACCGGCCACAGGCCAAGGCCAGCGAGGGTGTCGCAGCCCTCACTGCCGCCCTCGCCGTCGCCACCCAACCAAGAAGAATCAGTTCTGAAAAAATTGTTCAAGAATCAAGAAGTTACTTTTTTTTTCGTTCTTGATTCTGTTCCAAAACTGATTTTGGGCAAAAAAAATTTAACAAACGGATTTCTGTTTCCAAACTGATTCTTGAAACAAAAAAACAGAATCAATCCCTATTTGGCAAGTTGTCAAACAGGCCCCAGGTGTCCTAGCCATGTCGCGTGGGGAGAACAAGGAGGAAGGGACTGCGGACAGGTTGGCGTTCGTTCTGCCATGAAAATGACCAAGAAACGCGGCTGCAATTTGCATTCGATGCGGGATTGAAATTTATGGACTCGAATGGTTATTAAACCTCTGGTGCGTCCGGTCACAGGTTCGGTGTCGCGCGTGATGTCTAGCGAAACTTATTTTGTCCGGCACAGTTCCCCATAGGCTCATACCAGATGCATTTGCCAACAGATGAAATGCACAAAATACGTGATGGGTATTCCTTAACCGGCACTCACTCTTCAAAAGCCCCTTTTCCTCTTTACCGAGCTCGTGCAAGCACGACCACTTCCATAGCTATACCTTCTTAAGAAATGCCTCCGAGTTTACTTTGAATCTCAAAACTCTGCGATGGGTTTAGCTATAAGGAAGTGATAGGTTGAGTCGCAAGGATCCGTCCTCGAGCATTTCCAGCATTCTCCTTCAAATGGTGAAGCCCGATCTCCACCAGCCAATCAACATGGCAACAAAGGTCTAGCTGCAATGGCCATCACACCATAGTTCGAACAACAAATCCAGTAAGTTGGAACAGAAAGCACTTTCATTTCTTTTCGTTGTGATCACAATGATCAAGATCATGCTTGAAGATGTCAGAATTAGAGGACTACTTCAACTACAAAGTCCAACGTCAAGCGACTGCATTTGCTAATGTAACTTGAGAAAACTCTCCCATTTTATTGCATCAGTCTCGTGATACAAAATACAGGCGACAAGGAGTTACATGATATCGATGGCTATATCTACTCACATAGTAAGTAGGGGTACAATTCTTTTGGGATGCCATCATCTTGACACGTAATGACTGCATTTCTTGTCAGGATCGATCCATTTCAAAAAGCATGCCCGTTGAAGGACAGGTTGGAACTCTGATTACGCTTTGAATACTGAGACCGTTTTTACGGTCTCTCTCCTGGACTTACAGAAAGAGAGGAGATGATTCTCATCACTTGTGCCGAAACCTGAGAGTTTAATGCCATAGGCTGCCAGCCTACGGATATCCCGGGGGATGGGGGATTGCCAAAGACCGTCCCACCAAGCCGGAGGAAGAAGTGGCGTAAAAGCACACTGATGGGGCTGCCCACGGCAACTCAATGGGCCAGCAAATCTATTCCAGACGTGGCCCCACCCAACCTGGTTTCCCAAGCCTTCAGACAACAAGTTACTCTGGAAACTACTAAGAAATGAAAAATTTGAGCTGACAGAATCGTCACCTGGGAAAATTAAAGGGCATTAAAGAATGTCACGGGCACTTCAGCATCAGATTGAACATGCTAGAAACTGAAGCCAGAAAATGGAGTACCAAGATTGTTTGCGGCAGCCAAGGCTGCAACTAACTGCGCGTATGTAGTTCCAACACGCCGGTGAGCTCCAGAAACAACAGCATGTTTCGCATGAGA